CAGGTTTGTGGCCCAACAATTACTGGCTGTATGCAGAAATAAAACTGGTTCTATGTGAAGTCTGGGCTCAGCTCCAAAGCCTGAGCTTGGTCACTGCCTTTGTCTTTTTGACCTGGATTTCTCCTTCTGGGGAATTCTTGTTCACGTGTCTTCCCCAGGATTAGTTGCCCTGAAATTCTTGTGCAGTGAGACAGAAACAAACACACCAATCTGCACAGGATCAGTAAAGTCACACTAGAAATCTGTTCTGAAATTCAGAAAGGTTGTTACAATTTAGGGAAACATTTTTCCATTATGCTGTTGACTCCTATGCAGTCTTTTTCAGACATACAAAAATCACAGAAAGAGGATGAAGCAGGAGAGAGCAGATGATACAATTGTGGTTATAAAAGATTTTTGTGAGTCTTAGACATCTCCTGGAACCTTGAAGTGTAGCCTGACAGACTTTCAGTTTTGGTTCATGGCTGCATTTGTATCAATAGTGGATTCACCACTTCGGGGATAACAGTTTTCCTTTAAAAAAGTAAGAAACAGATTTGAAACTAAACTGACATTTCTACATTTTGACTCTTCATTTTGTCAGTTCCCAAATTATAACACAGCAGCTTTAAACTGAAAATAAAATCATTTCATCTAGAAAACACTGAAACAGAGATCTTAGATTTTTTTTTAAGTTTTTTTTTATGATTTAAATGAATTCTACGAAGAAATGGAAAGAATTTCCTGCAAATTTCAGCTGCACTTTTAATTATGCAATATCTACCTTTCATACTAAAAAAAAATCTTAACAAAACGTTCTAAAACTGTCACTCAGGGCTGTCACTTCTTGGACTTAACATTTCTGATGCCCAGAGGCTGGTACTGAGGGGGAATCCTGGCTCAGCTGTGATCACCAGGGGTCTTTTCTAGGCCGTATTTTGCTGATCAGTGCATTTCATCCCACTGAAACCTCCTCCAGATTTTCATTATACTGCCTGCTCATGAGTTTTCTCTACCTCCTCCCCGTAGTCAGATGCTGTTTAGATTACCAATATTATTTTAATGGCTGTATGTTACTTAATTAGTACTGTGCTCATTAACATTAGTGTGTTAATATATAGCCATCCTTGAGAATTCATAATGTCACTGCCAGCACTATTTCTGTCAGAGCTGTGTTTCAGTTGCAGCCATCACTCCTATCACAGATCTAAAGTTTTAGATTTTCGTGGGTTATTTAAAGACCAAATTTATTTAAAGACCAAATCTTAACAGGTTCTAAGAAGATATAGTTTATTTCAATAAGAATTTGCCCAGAAAAAAATGCCACTAAGGACATGGATGGATCTACATTAGAGGGAAGACCAAAGACACTGCTTTCCAAAAGCAGTGCAAAGTGATTTTTAAAATGTGGTTATCCCAGCAGGGGTGTGGTACAACCTGCTGCAGGATGCTGCCAAACTGTGGGACACAGGTGGAATATTTGTGATAAACATTGCTGTTGTTTTCTTTCAAGGACAAGGGAGCCCCTTTGGGAGGGTTTCTTCACTGAAACTCTTGACTGAAATGAGTTTGCTAAAATTCGTCCCTCTTTGCACCATAAAAGAACAGCAAAAAAAGGCAGAAAGAACTATATATTGTTTTATTGTTGTGGGAACAACACATTGAAGTAACAGCACCTCTAAAACTCTTTAAAGCAGCTGCAACAAAAGCTTTCCAAAGTAGTTAGGGAATGTATTTCTTTAACTGCTGGCAGGAATAAAATAGAGCCAATACATCAAAATTTCTTCCACCCACTCCAGCTGAAGAAATAAATCAAAATAAATCTATTTTCCCTGGAAGAATTGAAGAGAATCCAGTGACTTTCAAGAGCAGCACAGGCAGGTAAATAGGTAGTTGAGTTCTGTAAATATAAAATGACAAAAACAGGCAAAATGGCTTTTGGTTTGAAATCTGGCAGAATAAGTTCCCTAATGTGTACAATAAAACTCATCAGTGTTTATCAGTGTTTAATAAAACCTTTAATATGATAAAATATTAACCTCATTTTTAATTTTCCCTGGAGTTTCCCAGTGTGACTTCATGTTGTCCCAGTTTAATTGCCTTTGTCAACTAGAAAAAGCTGATTTGAGGAATATAAGATGAGAGTCTCAAGGACTGGCCATATGTTAAACAAACTGTGGCTCTGATAACTGAGATTGTTTTATGTGCACAGAACAGAATTAATGATATTTTAGATGGGTCTGGAAAATTACTTTTGCCAATGCCTCTGACCCCGCAATTCAAAACCCATCATTACCATTAAGTTTTAAAAGTCTTGAGCTGGTACACTAAGAATACAGAAAGTATATTACACCTATTAAAATTAAGTTTTAATGTCCTTAAACAATTAAAGCTCAAATATTAGGTGGATGTTAATGAACTTCATAAATATTTATGAGTTGCCATTAAAATGTAGTGGCTAAAACCAGCAAGGAAATACTTCAGTTGCCTTTTGCTTTATTTGAAAGGATTGTGTCCTAATTCAGAGGCTTCCTATCTATCTCTTCCACACAGTTCTGCACCCTTTTAGCACAGTAAATCAGAGGTAATTACATTAATGTCAGCGAAATTATACCCAGCAAAACCCAACTATCTTCCTCTAACACGATGTTTTTATTGGCTCCACTCCTTTTTGGATGTGGCTGCTCAGGATCCAAGGACACAGGAGCAGAGGTGGAGCAGGATGTGCTGGCAAGTTGCAATCACTGCTGGCTCCTGGGCAGGAGGGACTGACATTTTGAGGAGTTTATGGTTCAGGGGCAGTATTTAAGGGTTGCACAGAGGGGTCCTTTCTGTGCAGTGTGTTTCATATCCCAATGCCAAGAAACCCTCGTTCCACCCAAATCTGTGCCAGAGAAGTTAATGAAAAATGTAAAAGTGATGTACCTGAGGGAATGGATGTGGCACGGGGATTTTAGCTCTGGTTACAGCTTTAACCCTTGTTAAAAAAGCCTTATTGTAATAAGCCTCTCTCTGGTTGCAGTTGGGTTGCCATAAATACTTAGGTTGGATAATGTTTCCTCTCTCCTCTGTCATACCAATGACCTCATATTATTTATGAGCATTTATAAGCATTGAGGAATTCCTATCTCTAGGAACTTGTGGAAGTTACTGATTAAGGTGATTGGAAAAAAATATTCTTGTAAACAAGCTAATTTAGCCACAGGCTCATTGTGCATGAAGGAAAGATTTTAGAAAGGTGTCCTTGTTCTGCATGTTTGCCCTTGTCTACATCCCAGTATTTTCCTACAGATTTTCATAGGTTTTTTTCAAATTAGTTCATTCCAACTCTTGGATAACACTCACCTCCAGCCACTGCCACCTTGATGGCCCATCTCAGTCCTCTGCCTCAAAGTATTTGTTCTCCTTTTGATCCCTGTCTTGGAGAGCTCTTGGTTGGCATCACAGAGCTGCCACAGTAATGAGTTTTCACTGTATCTTTATTGGTATTTACTCAAAACCTAACTTATTTCTGCTTTTTTAATTTATTTATTATTTCCTACTAGAAATATTGTAACTTAGTTGCTTTGTCTGGTATGTTTGAGTTTTCTCACCTTAGGGTAGCAAACGAGTAGTGAACAGACTGTTCTTCTCTGTCAGCAGCTCTCTGCATCCCTGCTGTTAAAGGGCAGCCCAGAATCCATCAGGAATTGCTTCCCAGATGGAAGTGAAATGCTTGTAGTCAGTGTTTGGAAACAAGGAGCAGATGAGCCCAGGCAGCCCCCTCTCACACCACAAATTACAAGTCCTCTCGTGGACTGACAACAGATGGAGCTTCCAAGAAGTGTTTTTCCCTCTTTAGTTCTTTGGGCCTTGCTAGAGCTGCCTGAGTTTAAACTTTGGAACTGATATAATTTTAAAGATGCAGAAAATATTTCCTTGCTGGAGGAAGGAGAAAAGATTTGTTGATATGAGAGAGGTTCCTCTTTGTTTTAATTACATTAGGGATCAATAATGGGACAATTTTATTGGTTTAATTTGTTACTGGTTTAGTTTCCTGGACTATTTACCCAAGGAGAGAGGCCCATTTCATGTTTTTTGACACTTATGGCCACTGAGCATCGTTAAGAAAACTTGCATATGAGTTTCACATACTATACTATAATTAAAACTCTACAAAGGCTGAGGTCTAAATCAGAGCTGACTAATCATATTTAATTTAAATGTCTTAATGGCTGTATTTTTAATAGAACAAGGGTACATTAGCTAATCCAGGTTTTCTTCCTACAGAGAGAGGAGCGAGTCAAAATTTTTAAGACTTTGATCCAAAAAAAGTGTATTAACTCAGGTTAATTCAGGCAGTCCATAATCCACTGAAGTCAGTTAAAATATTACTTGCTTGAAGTTTTGTTTTTATTGAAAGGGTTGATATCTCTCAAGCTCAATTGTGCAGGAACTTTTTTTGCACCATCAGAAAACCATTTTGATGGGACCTGACTATTTCCTGAGCCATCGATTCTTGGGGGCACAACAACATTCTGCCTTTTCCTTTTGCATCAGGCACAGGGTTTGCAAGGAAACCAAACCACTTCCCAGGCTGTGTGGGAATTCATTCCATCCAAAGTAGGACAATACTTTCACCACTGGAGATAATGAAATGACTGCATGTATTTAAACCACAAAAATGAGGGTAAATTTTGGCATTAATTTTGGATTATATCTAAGAGAAGGTACTTCTTCCTTTACTCCCCAGAATGAAAAATTATCCAAACTTTATCAAGGGCTCTTTCAAGGCACACAGTCAACACCAAGCACTTTTAGGGATCATTATAAAGCAGGAATTTGTTATAATACAAAGTATTTTGAATTGCGGAATTTTTCATATCCCCCTCTGTTTTGCCAAATCAGCATCTTCGAGGAGTTAAAAAATACTGAAAAACTGTGAGAACTGTGAAGTTTCTTGCCTAAGGCAATCATTTTCCTGTAATGACTCAGTAAATGGGAGACTGGAATAGAGTTTGGGAAGTTTTCGGTCCGTAAAAATACATTTCAAGTTTGATACTGTATCTAGTTTTCAAATTGTCCTTTGAATCAAAAGTTTCTCTTCAAAGATATCAGTACAGCTGCTACTGAAAAAGGGTAGCTGTCTCTGCATGGTACATACTTATTTATGGCACCTCACTGAGCTGACTTGTGATATCTTGTTTCAATACATTTTATGGCTGACTTTTAAATTGCTTACCAAAAATAAGATTTTTAATGGAGCCCCTATTTTATTCTTTATTTTTTTCTTGTAATCATTACCAAAGCCTATCCTACATAATGCTCAGGACTGTTAAACCCTAACTCGTGTCTCTTTTCTGACTGGACTGTTCTGAGAGACCACGGGCTTCAATTATTTGGAAATGTAGCAGAACTGAAGCAGAGACAGAAAAACGGGTGAAGAATCACTGTTAAATAAATAGAAGAAGGAAAGTATGAGAAGCAATTTGCTTTTATAAGCTATAAGCCATATCTTTGGCTCCAGACCTCTCTGATAATAAGGTAATAAATCCATATGAAAATGGAACTTGCTGTGTCTGTGCTGTCCTGCAGCTCATTCCTTGTACTTCCAGGCAAGTGCTGCTCTTGACTTCTTCATGAAGACATCTCAGAAGTATCCAAACACAGGCAAAAGTTGATCTTTTAAAATATCTGTGCTTTCTGAGACTCCACAGTTGTCCCTAAACATAGAAGGGGAAATAACTGCAGTTAATTTCCCTTATCTATCATCAAATGTTGACTATATTAATAAGATTAATTAGTCATTTAGCAGTTAAATAGATCAGTTAGATGCTATCTTACTTAAATTTTCTGTAGGCTAATTAATGTTTTATATGATGCTTTTGTTTAAAGTAACATTAACAGCTCACACACTCGGGGCATCATTTCATTAATTCTGTTCCCTATCATGTTATCAGTTTCTTTTAATCAACAGCTTTTGCATGTAGCCCTTTTCTTCTCCATCTGCTAAATCAGATTCAGGCAGACTTTTTTTCCAGACAACAAGAAGTATTCAAGGGCTTTACCCATAGATTTGCTTCAGTAAAATCAGTTTTATTTAGAGAGTCATCTGCATTCATTCAGTGCTGAATCTCTGACTGCAGGGGCTCCTGCCTCTTTTCTCAAATGAGCTTTGCTAGGTCCTTGTTTTGAAAATGTCTCTCCTCTTCAAGCTCTGACTTAAAGTTACATTCAAGCACATCAAATATTCCAGAATGTATTACTGAGAACACAGTCAAAGGTGTTAACCTCCCAGCAAAGCAACAGGAACTGCATAGAGCTTATGGAGTGTGACTGACCTCTGAAATATTTAGATTACCTTCTCAGAAACACAGGAAAAGGGTGGCTGTGAAGGGGGAGTGTAAAGGATGCTGTTCCATTTTCTCACTGTGAGGACACAAATTCCAGAGCTGCCAGTCCTTATACACTGAGAGAATTCTAGAGACTTAATCTACAATTTACTAAATCTTGCCATTCCCAGCAGCGTGGGACACTCATCACCTGAGTCCTTCCACTGGGTATTTATTGTTATTACAGCACATTTACAAAATAGCTGAATTACGTGCTTGACAAATCTATAAAATATTAAAGAGAATGCTTGCTGTTCTCCAAATGTCAGCATATCCTTGCCTCGTGCTCCCCAAAGCAGGGAGTGCTGATGGATGTGTTCCATTCTCCAGTGGAGCAGGATGGCAGGAGCACCTCCAGCACCTCAGCCTGGAATGGCCTCAAACAACCCTCACACTCCTTTACTCCACCTGTCAGGAATTCATATTGACCCTCCCATTGCCCACTCAGTCTTGGGGCAAATCCCTCCATTTTTAGTGGTTAATTTTTCTGGGATTAATGCATTAACGTGTCACATTAGCCCATTGCAGTGCTCTTGGCATTAAATTTGAATGCATTAACATCTGGATAAAAACATGAATACAATTTTTTGCCAAGAACAGGAAATTAAAGGCAGTCCTGGGGAAGAAAAAAAAGTGATGCCACAGGGCAGAGATTTTGAGGGCTGAACAGGCCATTTGCATTATTTCTCTGTTGCTTCCATCCTTGTATTTTGCTCTTTGTCCTTAATCATGCTTTGCTTTTACTTAATTGCTTTTTTTGATGAACATTAATTCAATCCCCTCTAAAGAGATTCCTGCTGATCCAAAGCCAGAGATGTCTGTAAATGAGTATATGCTGTACGTTTCTAAGTAAAAGCTGAAAAAGCTGAGATGACCCAAGAGAGACACAAGTCACACTCACATTAAACTGTACTCAGAATTTTCAGAACAAGGAAGACATCCAAATTTGTCTGTAGTTACAGAACTGGGATTGTTTTTTGCACATTTTGGGTATCTGTTCCCCACTGGATTTGAAATGTCAGAGCATACTCAGGAGAGCTTGGTGTGAAAATTCCCTTTCCACAATCATTTTAAATTTCAAAATACATTTATGACCCGGTGTGGTATAAAGTTTCACTTTGTGCTGGGTGAATAAATCAGCAGGAATTTAGGGAAGCTTCTACTGGTAACCAGACAGAAAAATTCTTGCTGAAGATTTCCAACCAGTCTGAAGGCAGCAGCTGGAACAGCATTTTATCAGGATGTCTGGGTCCTTTAAGGATGTGGAAAAGCAGATGGTGAAACAAAGAGGTCCAGGTGATAGGAAACAGCACAGCAGTTTGAGACTTGCATAAAAGACTTAATAGGCCTCCAGTGGAAGAAAAGGAAAAAAACCAAGTTGAAGGGGATGAATTAACAATAGATGTTCCTTTTGAGATTCAAAGGCACTACCTTTTTGTTGCAATCAACATGGGAGCACCTTCGTGGCTATAATTGGGTCAAGATGACTCATTCATTTGTCTGGTGGGGTAGAAAAAGCATTTTGAAACCTGTGCTTGCTTTGCTGAGGCCCAAATTCACTCACAGAGACCAATGAGCAGGGTCTGCCTGGGGGTGAATCACCAGTTACAGCACGGGGGCTGATCACACCTTTCACTGTGTCACAACAGGCAGAAGGTTGTCATGGAACCTTGGTTGAAAGGGTGAAGGGGGTATAATTGGAAGGGAAGTACATCTCAAGGAGGATGGAGAATGATAGGGCAGGAAAGAGGAAAATATAGCACTGGATCCTGTTGCACTTCTTAGGAAAGTCCTGCTTGAGAATGAGGTAAAGGGAGACATGACATGCTCAGATGTGTCAAAGAACACCTGAGGATTGAGGTCCAGGTTAGGGTATTTTGTAGGGTTGATGTGAGCCTATCTGTACAATTAAAATTCCAGTAATTTCCTAGCACTCCCGTTCCAGGTGTGTGCAGCACCTGGGAAAGAATTATAATTGAATGATAAACCTTGGAGATATAACTGATGGGATGAGAGTAAAGGACCAGAACATGGGGAGAAAGTGCAGAAGTGATTGTGAACACTTAAGTCATTCTTTCTGTGTAGTTTACTCATTAAAAAGTGTAAAAAGGGGCATTGGATCCATTGCCTTTTCTGATGTGGCATATTTCTTAAAATGCTTCTTCGAGGTATGAGAGAAGGTCTTCTTCTAACACACGTGAAAAAAGGGTTTAAATCACACTTCTTACCTCTCAGGAAGTCGCTTTCAGAGGGTTATAGGTCATGATTGCAGAGAGCTTACTTTGCCATAGCTGCAGGGTTTTGTCAAATAAATTAAGTACTTGCTGATTTGGAATGAAATAAAGATCTCCACAATTAAGTTTAGAGCCTACAGGTCGGAGTGCTCTCAGGTCATGGCAGAGCCTGAGATGCATCTCAAAGATAGAGGGAACATTGAATCAGAACGTGGAAAAGTTCCAACAGAAAACAAAATAGGATGTATCTAATTCACTCCACTCTTTAACCCACAGCTTTCTCATGTCAGAGAGTTTGGGTCAGATGAGGTAGAGGAGAAAACACGAGCCAAGGGACGGTGCTCATTTACTGCCAAAGTAGTTGCAAAGAGAGAGCCTTTGTAAATGCCAGCAGGTGCCACCTGTACACTCACTGCTGCACCCTGCATTTGTTCTGGGCCACTGCTCACCAAAACTCAGGTTTTGTACAAAGTTAGTAATCTAAGGAGCTACTGTCTTTTTTATAGGTGGTGTTAATCTGACAGATTTACCTCAAGGCAGAACGTAATATTGTTCTCAGCCCGGTTTCTGATGGGGGGAGATTTGCCATTACAGAAAGTGTCACAAAGGGAGACAAATAAATGCCAGTTTTGATGACTGCTTCAAGAAAAATGTGAGCACTGGTCACCCCCTGCCTCCTCCCTCAATTTTCCCATCACATGAGGTTGTCCAGCTCCAGAGAGCAAAGACTATTCATTTGGAAATAGAAAAGTTGACAGTGATCCAATCTGTGTCATGGCCAAATGGAGACTGAGGGATGCCAGGCTTAAATATTGCTCAGGACCCTTGTGGCATTGACCTAGAGGACTCTCCACCAGCCCAGGAGAAGGAAGATCAAGAGGGCAGGTTTGCTTTTCCTTTTCTACAGTTTGAAGTCCTCTGGGCAGCAATGAACTCTTCCTGAAAGCAAAGGGGGTTTATTGCTAATTTACTGCTAATGCCAGTCATCTCCCTGTGCAGCCATATAGGAATTTCTGCCCTGATGCACTCCCCTAAGTTGGATTTGCTCATCAATGGGGAATAAAATCCTTTTCCAAGGGTTTATGTTCAAAGGGAAGACTGGAAATCTGTGCTAGTTTAAGAAAAATACTGCAGTCCAAGTTGCATAGAATCATACAAGCACCACATGCTTTCCCTGTTCTGTATCTCTGGGAGAGCAGTTCCAGTTTGTCAGGCCAGTGGAGGTGGGATCAGGAGAGGAAAAACCTCAAATGGGTTTATCAAAATCCTTTGTCAACAAAGAAACTAAAACGGAGGGCAAGGAAAACAAGTTTAACCAGAACACATAAGTGATTTAAAAACTATTTCACCCTAGAGAGCTGATAAATATGTAGCTTAGACACATGTAAAGATTTTAGTTTGTAGAACCTCATTAGGAGGCTGAAAAGAAGGGTTTGTAAGCTCAAAGGGCATACAAAAAATAGGGACCCTGAACTGACATTACTGAACTGATCTGGTATATTTGCTACTACCAGACATCCAAAAAACCCTCTCAACCTCTGCATATTGTTGTCATAGCTTTCAATAATATTAATAAAATAGTTAATTATTAAAAATATTAATAATATATAATAAAATAAAACAATATAAATAAAATAACTAAAGAAGTTATTTTATACTCAACTTCACACATATCAAACATTCAGCTATGAAAGGAAATAAATACTATAGACTGTCTCTGACAAGGATGAACTCTATTACCAAGCCTGGAATAGTCTCAGGCTTTTTTGTCTACAGCACTGTCACCATTGACTTAACAGTTACAAGCCTTTGTCACAAGCGCAGTTATCAAATTTGACATAAACTAGTGGCCTTGTGTTGGGGCATTCTGATCCTTTCCACTGTGGAATTAAGGGTTTTTTGTATGCCATGTTTATAGCATAAAGATAATGAAGGTCTAGTTTTATAAGACTGACTTTGAGAGTACTAGAATTTCTTATTTGGGTAAATCCAATTATATTTGAAGCATAGAACACCAGAAAAACTCAGCCTCCCTCACACACCACAAAACTAGTCAATGAGGCAGCTAAAGAGACCTACGAGCTCTCTCCAGTATTAGAAAATTCATATATTGACTCTGCCAAGGTAACCAGGTCTTTACTGTCCTTGTGATGGATTTAAGTTGGAGTTAAGCATTTTTATTACAAGTATGGATGGTTATGTGCTAGCAATAACATCACAAAGCTCAAAGAAACCAACTCCATCCTGGAATTCACACACCACTAAATCCATTGCCTTGCACCTTTTCCCACTTTAAATCCCAGTGAGTGTCCCAGTTAGGGCAGTTTACCTGTTCCAGCAGCTCAAAAAAATGCCAGATAATGAGACACTGATCAAATTCAAAACAGTCCCAGCACCAGGGGCATGGGAGAGCTATTTTAGAAAGCAGATTTAGAAACATAATTACAAGAGAGACTGATGAAGAGTACCTCCTCAATTTCCCTGTGGCCCTTGGTAAGAAATTAAATCAAGTGAGTGCTGGGTAAGCATGGCTGAGCTGTTAGAAATGAGGGAAAGGTTAGTTATCTTCTAAACAATATATACATAATGAACAGAAAATAAAAAGAAAACCACTGTAATGACAAGAAATGAGAAATGTAACGGGTTGTACAACACCCAACAGTTAGAACTGGCACTAGAAAGAGCCAGTCAAGAGTTTATTTGGAAGGAACACCTCTGAAATTTTGGAACTTGTGTGAGAATAGTTTTTTTCCCTGATCCTTAAAGAGTAGTAATTCTGAAGGTTTCTTGAGCCACCACCTGCCAGAAGAGGAAGACAAGATGTCTCTATGGACAGGTAGGAGATAAAATACAAAACCTGCCAAAATCAAAATGAATCTTTCCACTGGTGTCATTTAAGCTCTGCATGAGGCTTTAGCAAAACAGGTCCCATCTGATTTTGGGACGAATTTCAGTTTTCTGGAAGCCCCAGGAGAACTGTAAAGCCAAGTGGAGCTGGTGGAATAGCAATAACATGTTTTGCACAGCTGGGAGAGCAGCAGGGATTCAAAATGCTGAACACCCCCAACCTTCATGTTCCCAGGTTTTGATAGGAATTATCTCCTACAGGCCATGTTATTCCTTCCCATATCTAACTGGGTAACCAAAACCTTCTAAGTTATAAACGTGAGAATGGAAAACAATGAGTAGTTAATTCTTCTGCCTGCTTCTGAAATTTAAATTAATGTAAAAAATGGCTGTTTGGAGTAATGCTCATTCCTCGTTTTCTATAAAAAATAAAAAGCAGCACACAGATGTTTGAGCCAAGAAATGGAATCTAAGTCTTGTGGACACTTTTATAGCATCAGTTCAGGTCCCCAAGACCTCGTTTTTTCTGCAATCTCAAACCCTCATCTCTCTGTGTTCTCTTTTGTTTAACTAAACCAGTTTATTTGCCAAATACAAGGATTGTCAGCACTCAGGTTCCCTCTGTTTCTAGAGTGAAAGGAGAAACCAGCAATCAGTCTGTGGAGCTTTTCCAAATATGCCTCGAGGGCCCTCTTCAAGAGAGCATGAATCTTTGGCAAACAACGTGTTGTTACATTAAAGAATGCTACAGATACTTGCTACACAAAATGTGAGGGAAAAATCTCATAGTTATGGCAGATACCTTTTCTAAACAGACTGGGTCCCTATTTATATTATGGGCTGCTGGAACTCCCCAGACCTCAACTACTAAAACCATTTTCCTGTTACATCTTCTGCTTAATTTAGGAATCTTAACATAAATTACCTTTTTCCTACAAGGCTTTTTCAACCTTCTGATAATGACATTGCTGCAACTAACTCTTTCTGTCTTTCTTCTCCCTTGTGGGCAATTTTTAATTTTTTTTCCCTTTTTTTTTTTCCCTGAAAGCTTGAAGTTTTCTCTATATATATAAACTGCCCAATTCCTATTTTGGAGCATGTTCTCTGTCTTCAGTAACAAGTCTATGAATATTAATACTCCAACATTTATCACAAGTTTTGGAGGAAAAGCCCCTTAATCAAAGACATTTGGGCTTGTATGTGAATTTTGATGGATGACCCTTCACAGACTCCACAGCTCACCTATTTTACCCACCTCACCTGGTGATAAACCTGCAAAATCTTCTAAAGATCTGAGTGGTTGAACCTGCTCCAGCACAGTCAATATCCCTCTGACACGTGGGTCTGTCAGGGAAAAAAGATCCACTCACCAACTTCCCAAAACAATAACATTGCTCCCTTTTTGAGCCAGCTTTTCCCATGAAGCTAATTCCCAAGTAATTTATTCCCAAGTAAATCTGCTGTCTGAAAGGAGGAATTAGATCTATGTGCAGATGGAGCACGAGCTTTTTGTAGGATCTAATGGGATTTGCAGTAATGTGTTTGTGTTTAGTCACAGAAAAACAGGGAATCTGTCTAATCCTCGGGGATTTCTTTGTGTTGATTACCAGGTGATGTTTCACAGAATGCAGCCTTTCATAACCACAGGAACATGATAATCAAAGTAGGATTGTATTGATGCTGCTGGTTCAGCTGGGGAAGGAAGGATATTCCTCTTTCTGGGATGAGAAGAGAAAGTTTTTGCAGTGAAAAGCAATTTATAGGTATCAGCTCAGAGTCACTGCACAGCTACCATTTGTCCAGTGCCCCAGAACCAACTCATTCAGAATTTGTACGTTGAAACTAAACTTTTTAAAGTTTACTGAGGAGGAAAAGGCAGCTGAGAGAAATATCTGCAGCAACGTGTGAAAATCCTGTGCCTGTAGTTAAAACACCACCTGTGCAATGATTTCTGACTCCGGTCACAAAGGATGGACAGATCCTTTGGGGCAAGAAGAAAAGGCACAGACACAAAAATGGAAATCCCTGGATAAATACTGAGCAGTTGAGGAAAGTTATCCAGGTGTATTTTGAAAGGAAGGGAATCTTCTCAGGTATTGTTCTGTGTGGATGTATTAAAATTGCATCCTGCCAGTCCCTGGCTGTCAGCACAACCTTTCAGAAAGGAAACCAACTGTCTGCTGGTTTTAGGGCAAATTTTTAAACTTATTTCAACTTGTAATTACAGCAAAAAAATCCACATTGGTTCCTCACCAAATAAAAGGATGGAAAAAATGATTTAAAGCTATTTTTCCATCTCGCTAGCTTTTCTATTCTAACATAAGTTGTAAATCATGGCAGCACAGGACAGCACCTTGTTTTTTGCTGATGAAGTTCTGTTTTACTGAGCCACTGAGGAAGTACAATCCTTCAGCTGACAGTGATTCCTTGGACATTGGCACATCCTGTGCACTGGCACATCCACAATGGCTTTTGTGGAGTGCACCTAGAGAAGTAAAGTGTATTTAAGGAGTCATTCTACAAGTAACAATCTCATTCTTACAGGGTAGAAACATCAAATGTTACACACCTACATTTATATGCTGTTTTAAGGAGCCCCATTTGCTCGTAGATTCCCTTTTTCAGGAAATTTTATTTCTGTAGGGAAGCATAATCAGTTCTTCTTTCATCAAGGATGGATGCAGGAACCCCAGAACTGCTACTGGGAGATGGGAACTGATGCCCTCAGTCCCAGGCTCTCTACAGCAAAAAACCAGACAATGACCCTTCCCTAAAACTATATTCAGACTTTTGCAAAATTAGGGAACTAAAGTGAGGTATTTCTATCCCAGATTTTTTGGCCTTGGTTTGAATTCAAGCGAGGACTTAGGACGGTGTCCCCTGAATTTACAAGCTCTTCCTTGGTTTCTTGTTGGCCCAACAAAATGCTATAGAATGACAATTGAAAGCTAAAATATCCCTCGGCCCATATGCCTCATTTTTATGCTGAAGATTTATGTGTGAGGTTAACTTTGTAATTATCCCGTTTAAGGGTAGTGCTGGGTTTCTAAATTAAGACTGATGGCATAGATGAACAAGTAAAGGTCATTCTTTGATGCATTAGCTCTCTGTTGATGGACAATTTAACACAAAAATGCTTTGCATTTAGCGTGAAACCTTTTCCATGAAAATCACATTCCACTGCCTGTCTTTATAAATATTAATTCACAAAATGCACGTGCTTTGTGCAGGTCCTGACAGCCTCTGTAGTGGAGCTGGCAAGTCAGTCAAAAAGAGGGAGGTACAAAACAAAGGTGGTAAAGTTTATTCCAAGATGTCAAAGGGCATTAAAATACATAGTTAAATACAGAATTTTACCGAGTTTCAGAGCATAAGAGTCAGGTTGAAGACACTGAGATAGATGGAAATGGAACAGTCAGCAGTATAATCAAAGCTTAAAATTCACACTGCAGGTGGGAATCCTCCTAAAAGGGCTGTGATAAATCAAGACTGCATTAAAAAATTAAGGTTAGAATAATTGAATCAAACCCAACAAACAAAACCCCCCAAACCCAAAAGAAAATGATGGTTAGACAGTTTCTGAAGCAAAACAGGGACTACATGTAGAGTTTTTGAAATGAGAAAGTACAAGAAGAGGCAAAGGGAGAAAGCAAGAGGTGTTGCCAGAGTAACAGAAAATGAGGTTGGAAGAAGGCCCATGTTTGTGAGCAGGAAATCAAGAGAGAATTTTGAATATCCAATCTGATCTGTGAGGAGCTCGGTCAAAATTTTCCTAGAAAGTCAATAAGTACTGAGCCAGATGGGATTCAGAGGGGCAAAGGTACCAGGAGGGATGAACTGCAGAGCTGAAGGAATTGCCAGGGAAGTCTGAGGGAATAACTGAACTGATAAATAGAACCAGCTCTGCTCTCAGGTACCGTGAACAGCTCTAGACAAGCTGGGGATGCTGCAGGCATGGGCACAGGTTACCAGGGCACTGGTTACCAGGGCACAGAAAGGCACAAATCATGCTGGTGAAACATCAGCACGAGGAAATTCTGAGCCTCAACATAATATTGCCTTAGAGGGAAACTATTCCCCTAATAGCCATGAAAAAAAAAAAAAGACGAGAATTTGAATTTCTCCTGCTAGAACCAAGCTAAAAAGCTGATGTGCTTATCAGTGTACTGGCCCCTTCTTTCCTGCCTGCTTTGGTTATTCTATGACGCCTTTTATTTGTAGACCTGGAACTGTATATGATGTTAAGGGGCAGAGGTTTGGTTTCCTCCACACATGAATATAATATATCAGTGTCCCCTGCAGTCCAACACACTTGGTGCTGAATTACAGCCAGTCAGTTACTCCAAGCAGCAAATAATTCAAATGAGAAATCTTTACTGAGCTACTCCTTCTATCTGTGGATCACAGAGATTGTAGCACCTCTTGAATTGCTGTCTTTTTCTCAGGTGCTTTGCTTTTATTCTGCAAAAGCCAGACGTGCAAACCTGATTTCAGGGACTGGAAGGTCTCTTTGCTCTGCTGAGCTGCTGTGAAGTCCCTGATTCCTGCCAATTCTCAAAAGAATCTGCATATATATATATATATAAAACATTTCTCTTGAGTCAAGGAGATCTATGGCCACTGTAAAAGTGTATTGTATGTTACAAGAAAATCTTTACAGAGCTGGCTCGTTAATTTGAACAAAAGAGAAATTATAGCAGAAGGCATAGAGGGATTTTCAAAATGGGGACAGGCAAATAGCAGTAGAATCATCAGAGGTCATGCATTTCAAGGACCTGATCAACTCCAAACATAATGGGATTCTTTAACTGCCTCTGTTAGAGGAGTACAGCGAGTTCCCATTTAAAGAGATCAGAAGGGGTTTACTTGCCTGACCTTTAAAAAAGTATTTTCTATTGGTGCTATACATATTGCAGTGTGGTGATACAGAAAAGCTATAGCCAGATTTGTTGTGACCTGCTTTTGATTTTATTTCAATAATAAACCTCGTTCTCTCTGATTTTGGATCTCATTTCTTACCTGGAGCAGTCTGATCACTTGACAAGGACTACAAGAGACTAAATCTACATTCTGTAAGTGCATTAGTTTTTGTGTACAATAATAAGGCTTTGAATACATATTTATTAACCTATGCAGTTTGTTAATAAATAAAATTCTGATTACTTTAGTTACATTAACTTATAAATGGGTTTACCCTTTTGAGTTGTTAGCTTCACATACAGAATATAGAATATTGTCCTGGAATTTTACCAGTGAACTTTGACTGTAAATTCACTTTCCCTTTTATTGTTATTGTAAAGCACCATTTATATCAAAATAATATATACACACTTTTATCTTTTCTTCATAATAGCTAATCCACATTGGTTGTATTTTTTACAGAGTAACTGCTTAGATTTGAAGAGCACTGACTTCCAGTAACCCAAAAAGTGATTTCATTTTTGTGGGACCAAAGCAGGGTAGTGTCATTATTGAGGGCCAAGTTGGCTACATAAACTTCTGTTCTTTATTTTTCTTTATCCACAGTATAGTTAAGGTTGGGAAGTAAAGATATGCCTCGAAATATTATTTTTATTTTTTCACTGCACTTCAGGAAATTATATTGGTCCTCACAAGAATCCTTTACTTTTAAAACAGAGTAAGTTAAATCCCTCTGTTAACTCTGGTTTTTAAAATAAAAAGGTGTATTTTTCTCTCGTTGATGGAAACGTAACTACTCTTTCCATTTTTCAGGTTACCACATCCCAGAAACATCTGCTGTAACTGGATTTGGTCTCTGTTATGTGTCAACCTGAACCACCTGAGAGGTTCCACACCCAAGAGGAAAAACCCCTGGCACCATCTCAGCCCTTACTTTAACCAGACTGCTCTTCTGAGAGAGACAATCACTGAGTCCAGGAGATGCTATGCATGGAACAACTTGATCATGGTCTGGTTTTCACTTTCTAGATAAGTACAGTCACACTACAAAATGCAGTACACATTCTTGAAAATAGAGGTTATGATGTCACTTGAAGGGAAAAGTCAGATACAAATGTGTATTATATATGACAGCTCCTTCCCTGCTCTGCACATATGGTTCTGAACACGTGTTTCTTTATCTGCTGATTCAATACCTACATCATTTTGTCCCTCAGTGAAATTTCTTTCCTGGGATCCTTGCCAAATGTTTAAATTCAGAGTGATGGTATTTTTTTCTGGGAGGATTGTGTCTCCACAAAGAGCCAAAAAGGCTGCACTGGGAAGCTGTCACATAGTCCTGCTTCTAGAGCTGTGTATGACAAAGCAAAAGGCTTTAATGTCACTATTAACAAATGTACTATCACTCAGCCTTATCACCTCCTGACATCCCTTGACTCCCTCTTCCCAACTTCCTTTTGCCTTCTCACTATCCTCAGGTGCCTGTCACAGCAAAAAAAAAGAACTTAAACCAACTCCCATGGCTCCCTGGCTAATCTTCTTTTAACTTTCAAAAGTAAATTATACAAATGTACTTCCCCCCCTGCCCCCAGACTTCCTCTCTTTAAAACTTTAGGGATGCACAAAACCTCTGGTGGACCAGGGGAAAAAAAAGAAAAAAAAAGACTCTTGTACAGTGGATTCCATGGACCCAACCTGAAGTATCAAAAAAAAAAAAAAAGTGAGTTAACACTTGGATTTATGAAAACAACATTTAGTTGATGCTAATGGAGCTTATGTGAGTATAATTTTGCATGCAAAGAGCAATGAGTCAAGTCACATAAGAGGTTTGGAAAATAATGAGACTTTGCCTCAACATATATTATTAATTCTGTGGATATTAATATTTCTCTTCAGTAATTCGTGACCTGCATTCATTTCTGTGGGATCCTGATGTTTTCTGAGACAGTCCCACTACCTGGCAAGGGGGGGAACGAATGGCACAGAAGCTCAGGTGTGGAAAACCATTGATTTTTGTAACATTGCAGACCTGAAGTGCTACTGGGGAAGTGAATATATGAGGAGCAAATGCTTCAGGAAAAAAAACACTTGGAGCCTTTAGACGGTTCAATATGTAATTCTGGAAATGCTACAGAGTGTTTTGGCCCCAGTTTCTGTAACCATTTATCAGAGCTAAGAGATTATAGTTAGTTATGGGTGTGCTACAACTGTTTTTCTCCAGAGCTATATCCTTAATTGCATTTCTACACAATATATTCTTGTCTTTTGTAACAGAAGCTGTTGTTTGCTATATGAAGATTTTGTCAGGGTGCAGCAAGGGTGGCTGTGGAGTGGCAGGAGCTGTAGATCAAGCCAGGCCTGAGCACCAAGCAGTTCCCAGGGGCAGTGACTCGCTGCAGTGGGGTCTGGGAGCTCTCCCAGTGGGAAGGGACAGCTTTGCTGGGCTGTGCTGGAGCTGCTCTCAGAGGGGATATGCTCAGGACCCTCTCAGAGCTCACCAGAAAAATTTTCCCTTTCAACTAAAAGCCAAAGACTGAGAATTAGGTTTCAGGAATTTCTATTCCTCTATCAAGACAACTTCCTTCTCTCTCACCCTTGTTGGTGTCCCTCCCCAGCCCTCCCTGCTGGACCATTCCACCCCAGGAATGGTCTGTGCTGGACCATTCCACCCCAGGAATGGTCTGTGCTGGACCATTCCACCCCAGGGCAGAGTTTATCACCCCCACTTGCAAGTAAAGATGCCTTTGGTGTGACTACAAAAGAATCCAAGTTCGATATTGAAAATTTCATTATTTTTAAACCAGTGGCACAATTTATGAGCAGCTGTGGGACAGGGTGGTGAATTTTAGCAGGACTCTCATGAAAGATGGATATGGTTCATTCTCCCCATTCATCTTTTTGAACAGTTACATTGGCTCCTTGTGCCATTTACTGTGATGCTGTCAGGACTAAGGGAAAAAATTCTATTCTAGAGAAGCAGAATGGAAGGGAATTAGGTGACTTGTAGGCACTGCCAGGTTGGAATGAAGGGCTTTTCAAGGACCATCAACATATGAATAGGATTACCTTGGATGCACTGGTGACCAGACATATTTTTAGCCTTTGGCAGACAAGAATGGAACCTCTGAAAACAGCAGGAGTGCCACTCAGAATGTAAGAATTCCATCCCAGAGCAGCACAGAGGGGGAGCTGAAATTTTTGGAGAAGGGGACAAGGAGATGGGCAGTGCCATATTTTTAATTTCTTTTTTTTTTTCCTTCTGATTTCAGGATCCTAAAATAACATGTTCCAAATGAATAATAAATGTCAGGTTGGCTGCAAAAGTCTTCCTGGTGCCACTGCACATTTGTGTTGTGTTGATTTTGAAAGGTTGGTCATTTGAATCCAGCTGGGGATCCTGGTGAGAAACAGGGGCTGTGAACTTAGCAGCAAGTTAGGAGAAGCAGTGATTGCCTAAAATTTAAAACTGAAGTGCTGTCCCTGCCAGAGGAGGGGTTGGTTGATGTTGAAAACTGCAACTTTCAAAAGGAATTTTAGCTCTCTTTCAAAATTCCACCTCCTTTTACTGCAATATTTAACCATTACCCCTGACTTGTGAACTAACCTTTGTACTCTTATGGCTAATAATGTCTGGGATCTGCTAAGATCTGTGACAAAGCAGAATTTTCTAGGCTTGACTGCACCCCCTGTCAAGAGGTTTTAAGTCAGCTTGAAGTTCCTCTTCCAAATGTAGTGTCACTCTCAGTGCCAAGCTGGTGAGCCTGGTAACATAAAATATCTTGGACATGTAAGTAAGTGATTGCAGTTTAATGATTTTATGGTTTACATGACTCCATTGAATAAAATCCATGCATATTTTTAAAGATGTTTCACAGTGGGATTATTTTTAAGCCTTAGTAACAAGTGCTGTTTTGCTTAAAACAAAGCAAAAGTGAAATAATAATAATAAAAAAGGCAACGTTAGAAAGCATTTTAATCCTCATGGGAACTAAAATCTTAAAATCTTTTAGTTAGCTTCTGTTCCTCTGCCTTCATTTTCATACTCCTGAATAGCATTAAACTCAATCATATCACCACTTGTCACCTCATAAAGAAATTTGTCCCATCATAAAATCTGAATAAACCAAGAACAGAGAGGACAACTTCCTTTCTGAAGATGCCACTCTCTCCACTGACTCTAAAGGGAGTGTGAATGACCATCTTAAATTGCACAACATATGAAATGATAAGTTGAGATGAACACCATGTTGAATTCAGATTCTTGGATAAACATCTAGAGTTAGGGTTTGTTGAGCATCCAAATTGTCTAGGACAGTCAATAGGGCTTAAATGAAAAATGCTTTTCAGACTGGCCCTTTTTATACCTGACACCAGCACATTAATCCTTCCCTATTTCTTCTCTGACCTGCCAATAAAAATGTAAACTTCCTGGCCCAGGGCTGCTCTTTATATCAACACCATATAAGACAGGAACACCGATTTAATTTGTATTCTCTGAGGGCTGTTTGTAATAGGATTTATAAATACTGATAAATAGAATGCACTAAGCACTTTCATGTTATATTTATTAGCTTATTAACTGCTGGGCAATCTCCAATCTGCCACAGTATGGAAGTGCAAGAAAAACTGAATGAAGATTTAAGTTTGGTTTTACTCTGGACTTATGTAGCACAGAAATGGAGCAAATATGGCCAAATATTATTTATAAAGTAGCAGAATCTCCTGGGGGAAGAGACTCCAGAGAATTTCCTGTGAAATTCAGCTCATAAAACAGCATAAAAGGAACATCATTTTCTGTTATATGGGAGCTGACTTTCCCACAAAGGTCTCTAAATGTGTGTTGCATAGTGCAGGAGGGGACAAAAAAGCCTTTTAGTTAGGTTGCTTTATTTGCTGGTGAATTGTTAAAGGTTAGAAACACTAGAGAGGGAGAAAACACCTACATAACTTTTCTCCTCCCCACTCTCTGAGTCCCCCAAATGTGATGAAAGCATTCTTCAATTTATTTAAAAAAAAAACAACCTTCTCATTTGAAAAGTCAAAGGCCTTTTTTTAAACACTAACAACTTCTTAAGGAACCATCCATTGAGACAGATCTGAGGGGGCTCAGGAAGGAATTAAGTTATGAATACATGCAAGAGACTTTACTCTAAAAACACAAATAGCCCTGAGCCAAGATTCACAGAGCAAATATTGCAAATGTGCTCCCTGTAATCTGTAGCTTCTAACAGGGCCAGGAAGAGGCATTTCCCAGGTTCCCTCTTGCAGCCACGCTGGGTATAAATCAGTGGAGTAAAAATGGCTTGTTTGTGCTCCTTTTTGCAGCAGTGACTGATGTTTTATGTTGCACTGATCATTAAGCAAAAGGTGCCAGAGGTGGATCTCATAAAAAGAAGTAACAGGGATGTATTTTTTTCCACTGTGGAACAAATCCAGATAATTTAAAACCCCACATGTTGCTTGCACCTGCCACATGGAGCTTCATGACCAAGCAGAAGAAGCCATTTATAATTGGCATTAGAGCTCATTAGAGCAGCATTTGTTCTCTTCTTTCAGGGATTTGGACCCTAAATCCCAGGGCTTTAGCTAAACCTCTCTGAGAGATTCCCTCTTGTCTCCTGAGCCACTTCTGACCTGTCCCTTTAACCTCTCTCTGTAATCAAGTGTGATTTTTCCCTCGTGCAGAAGAGATAATCTTGGTGGCTGCTGCTGATCTCATTCTCACACAGCTCTCTGACCACCACACACCAAAGATTCCCAGGGTTATTTTATTTTTTTAATAATTAACTGACAAACAAATTTAGCCATGCTCTGCTGTAGCACACTTCCAGATTACATCTGTTGTTTCTTTGAGCTCTCACATCTTTTAGAAGACTGCTCAGGGACCAGTTTGGAGCAGGATGCTGCCCATAACAGACCACAAGAGTAGACAGGAGCTGAGATGCTGAAATCCAGTCCTTATTTTGTTAGGTTTTCACACCAGAATTTCTTGTTGTTTTCTTTTCCTAATTCAGCTTTAATGTTGGTCCATGTTATCAGCTGCACACAGTATATTTGCTTCCCTTCTTGATTCCAGGAGGGATGAATTGCTGCTGGATTGACAGAAATGTGCTGTAGGATCTCCCAGGTGGGCTCCCCTTGCCAGTGTGTGCTACAAATCCCCACATCACATGGAAAATTATCTCAGCTGAAGGTATTTTATTCAATATGACTGTCTTTTGCTTTTCTTATACTGTTTGGTCCTGCTCATCTGTTTAGTCCAAAATTCTAAGTAGACTAAGAATGCATTGATCAACAAGAGGTCTAAATAAATCCTTCTGAACTTCTTCCTCTTTTGTTACTCAGCTCAGCTTCTGGTGCAGGTACAATGCCAGACCCTAACCAAGATGGAAAATAGGGATTAACCTGTCTATAGCACTGGAACTTATTTCCCATTTCCTGATCATCTTCCTGGCTCTTCTTCACCAGAAAAGGCATCCTCCTTTCAGAAGTGAACCACTGCAAAAACAGAGCATAGGAAGCCCAAATATAAATGAGAAGCATTTCTATTTCAGTTTTCAGTCACTCCAGCTGTCCCAGACATCTATTTTAACATTCCCACTCTCCTTTGGTCACAGATAAATACAGGAGAAGGGATTCAGAGAAGCAGAATGTGAGTGAATGTCTGTGATCTCCCTCTTTGGCACCTTTTTGTGCTTTTTGTGGCAGAGTGGATCAGCCAAGCATCACGTCATGGCAAAAGGGTCACAAATGTACCCAGCTCCAGGGAACACTCCAGGCAGGGATGGATTGTCTCTGGGGCTTGGGAACCCCAAAGCCTCAGTGGATGCAGAAGCATGTGCTGGTCTCAGAACTGCGGTGTCTGAAGTTGTGTCCTCATGAGTGTGAACACCAGGATGGTGTGTTTTGAGAGAATCTCCCCATGATTTCCACTTCCCACATTTTGGTTGATGTCCTTGTGTCTCAGAGCACAGAAACTCAGGTTTATTTGGATGAAACCAACTGGAAGCTCCACCCAGTCTATAAACTGGAAACTAATCTTTTTTTTTTTTTTTAATTAAAAACTCACCTAATGAGTGACCTCACAGGCATTCAGTTTAGGGTACCAGCCTATACACAGTTCTGAACAATCCCCCAAATATATATGACAGACATCAAATAACATTTCACACTACAACCCCCCTCCTAGCAGGCTGTGCTACCTATAAACACATATACATATGCAATATTGCTGTTTTCAAAACCTTCCCTCAGGGGATTCCTCAGCAAAAGAACTCCAGAGCAACTGCAAGACAAACCCAGATGTTACACCGAGGTTTTGCTCTGCTGGGATCCCCTTTATTTGCCCCAGATCTTGTTTTTCTCTTTTCACAGGCTCTACTGGTATAATCACAGCTGAAAGCACAGCACCTCAGCCCTGAGATTTTCCAGCTCTGCCTGAGCCTGAAATGAATAATTTGAGAGCTTCTGAGCTGCTTTTTTTCCTCAAGAAATGTTAAATTAAATACAAAATCGCCTCAGCATCCCATGAAGTTCCCACCCCACTTTCATTCTTAAAGTGATCCCTGCATTTAGTTGCACAGTCTTGCAGAGATAAAAGGTGTTTTGTGCAACTCCATCTCTCTGTGGGACGTTATTCTGAGAAGAAAAAGTTTCTACTGTTTGGCCTTGCAGGGAAAAAAAAAAAATTAGATTTCCCAGAAATGAGATCCTTTCAATGAAGTAACTAATTGTATCTAAACCCCTTGAGCTTTGATAGAGACGCTTCGATTTATTTCGAGTATTTTTGAAAAGGGGAGGAATTTAAAAACAAAACTTTGTATTTGCTGGAATTATACTTTAAACACCTATAAATGACTATTTCTGCTTTACATGTTTACATATCTATTGAATAGATGTGTAAATTTATTGAAAATTGTGTCCCCTTGTGACATAAGCTCTAGGATTGCTTAGCACGTAAATGTAAATTTACCTTCCAAAGGAAATACTTTGAAAATATGGGGATATTTTTGTTCATCTTTCACAGCTCTGACTTCTGGGTGGGAAAGGTCACCCAGAACTCAGAATTAAAGGTCGTTGATTCACCTGCAGTCACAAGAGTATTGGGAAGAGAACCCAGATCTTTGGGACTTGGAGGAGAGAAAGAAGTACCCAGGATTTTAATCCTGAGTTGAAATAACTCTGAATGTCTTTTCTGCCTTTGTCCTAACGATGAAATACAAAATACAAGTTTGTGAGAGTGGATATTACAGTGTTTATTATGGCAGCTATTTTACTGTAGATGTGTTGCAGGAAACAGATTTAAAATTACACAGTAAATAACTGTAAATGAAATAATTGATAGCTTTCCTATGTGGCATGGCAAGGTTTGATTCACTCAACAGGCTGAGCTGAAACTTTCATAAGTATATATGAAAGTAGTGTATATGATAAATTCTGCAATATCAATTCTGTTATTTATTATTTATGCAATTCTTTTAAGGATTTCAAGGCTCAGAAGTGTTCTCAGGCTGTGGTGCTTTGGTTAGAAACTGTTATCTTCACCTCAATTTAACTTTGTATGCCCTTGAAATCGATATTTTCTTCGAAGAAAAAAGAGTTGTTTTTTTTTTTTTTTCTCTTTCAGCTTGGAGCTGTTTTGAGACAAGCTCTATTTTGAGTAAAGAAAGGGTTCTAACTTTTAAAATATTAATGTAAATACTGCGTGGTGTCGGTGGCAAACACGTACCCCCTGTGCCCAGGACTGGGGTTTTGTTTGTGTCTGATCTCTGGAACATCAAAAGTGCCAGCCTGCTGTGGAAGGGGCTTTATAAAAGAGCTGGATGACACAATTAAAGTGGGAAAGCATAATGGCAATATACAATTACAGCTCAGGAGCTGAACTGAAGCTTTTTTTCCTCTCTCACTCTCTCCTTTTTATCTGCATGTATCATTATCATCTGCACAGTGCTGCAATTTTTGAAGCAATACCTCATTTTTGATTCCTCTGTTTTATTTTTTTTTTCTTTTGGTATTCCTTTATTCAAGGCACTTTACATTTCACAGTGGATCAGACACTTTAAACAACCAGCCTGGCTGCTCATACGCTTTCTGAGCCCAATTTTCCACCTTTAGATACAAAATAAATTGCTGTAACAGGTTGATTGTCAAGAAGGGAAATCATGAAGTTTTATCCTCACTTTTCCATTCCTTTGGCAGGAGTTTGATATTGGTCTGATTCTGTGGGTAGCTCATGACCTCTGAGTACTGCAGATGAAAAGAATGCACCTTTTATACCTATAAAATGATCATATTTGTTCTACAGTATTTGCTAAATCTTTCCATCACTGTATTTTCCCAGATTAAATTCAACTCAGATTATGCTTTTTTTGTCACTCTAGTTATGCACATTCAAATTTAAACCTTGTAAACTCAAACCTTAATGCCCTTGTCAAGAAGTCACTAATTAGATTTTTACAATAATAAAAATTTCCAAATTTTGTGTGTCATAAAACCACAATAAATAGGTGGGAACACTCCAGGACTTCAGAGCCCACTGCTCCAGTGGGATGCCCAGGAACAGCTTGTCAAACTGCAGCTAATGTCTTGTCATTAAAAATAAACACATGCACCCTCACATCACAACAAATAAACCATGAAATATTACCTTCAGGATATCTCCAGATATTTCCTTTACAAGGAAGGAAATAATAAAGCCAAATGAGTTTTCTGGGCTAAGATCTGAAAGACCTGGTTCTGAAAGAAGTGATGGGAATTTTTAGCCCAAATCCATGGATTGAAAATGGATTGAAGCAAATCACAACCTTATATCCTTATTCAAAAGTGGCCTTTTCCACTCCCCTGATAAACCCTTTGGTTGCAACTGTAAATCTAAAGAACTTCTTTTTTTTTTTCACTGCCTGTAGCAGGAATTAGAGGCAAAGCCTTTCAACTGCTCTTTGCTGTTACAGACAATTACAAAGGAGGGCAAGTCACAGTCCCTTCAGAAGTAATGAGAAATTGAGGTTATTTGGGGATTATATTGATGTGTGAATGCTTTGATATTTCTGTACCACCGTAAATCTAAACTTCTCTCAATTCCAGTTCTTGAACACAAAGAGGATCTCTCCTATTAACTGTGTTAACACCACCATTGAAATATCAGCTGGCAGTTTATCCCTCCTCCATCAAAACCTACACTGCAGTCCAGTAAATGTGTTTTGATGATCTGGAGCAAGAAAAAGGGGCTGGGAAAAGGTGGAACTCTTTGAAGGAAGAAAAAAACCAAAAAAGACTGGGGAAGAAGAAGTAAAAAAGGGGACAATCAGAAGAGAAATGGAAAAAGAGAATTAAAAAAACCACGGAGGAGTGAAAAATAAACATAAAGGAACTTGTTGTTTGGCTCCAAGAATGTATTCATTCAGTTTTTTCCACCTGAGGGTAGGAAACTTGGATGGAATACCAGTACCCAAAAAAACCCATATCCAAATTTCATGACTTTTGGGCAAAATGGAGACCCACAGTTTTGGAACCACTGAAAAAAAAAAAAAAGAAAAGTACTTTTTTCATTATTTTACTAAAGTTAGCCTTCTTTTTTGGTATATACAAATAATGAATATTTCATGTCCACTGTTTAGAAAATACTCAATATTTTCTGCTAGCAGAAAACAAGACAATGTGAGTTCTGAGACTTAAAAATCATGAGACTGGAAGATGAAATGAGAAGTATGAGAGTCCTGAGCAAAGGAAATTCTTTTAACAATTTTAATACTTAGAAAATAGTCAGTTGTGTTCATGTATTCTTTTTCTTTTTGTCATACTCAACACAAATCTAGCATAGCTTATTACTTACCTCATTCAAACTATCATTAACAACACTGGGGACCAAAGAGGGCTGAATTATTCAGGAAAAAGATGTATAAATAGACACTTGGCAGTCATTGTTTTTTCACATCTTTCTCTAAAAGCAGCAATTCTCTTTTATTTGTACTATCCTTTTAAATAAAAAAAATCAGTAGGAAAAGGAAAAAAATATATACCAGAATAATCAGTGAAGTCAAGAGCTTTATTCCTTCCACAGAAATTTTTCAGTGTGTTTAATTAAATGCTTTCCTCGAGATTTTGAAGCATTTTACCTAATGTGTATTTTTGCAATTTTACAGTGCCAACCCAGGGAAAGAACTTTTAACTCAGACCTGGTAAGTACCTCCTGCTTTCTTGTACCCCACTTCCACTGAAGTCGAGCTAAATATTCCCTCTAGAACAAATTAGAGCACGGAACATGTCAAGCCTTCCACTGGAAGCCTTGGAAACCTGAACAGAAAGCTCGTTATATTTGTGGGCAGAGCTGCCAAGGAAGATGCTCTGCTCTTGTTTGTTTGCAGAAATTAAGCATTCAGAGCAATATTTGAGTTCCTTTCCAAAAACCCAACAAGAAGCAGCCAGTCATTATGGCTCTTGTGACCCCCCATTGATTAGGATAAATACACAGAACCCATCTCAGGCAATATGGAATTCTATAGGAACTGCACAATTTCATTTAGTTTGGGTCGATATCCTTTTCCAAACCATGTAATTTGTGGTTGAATCCACAACAGGATGCTTTTGTGGGTACTTGCACAGCAGAAAGGCCTCCTTTTGCCAAAAGTGCTTCTGCAGTTCAATATTTACACACAGCAATGTTGACGTGCCATAATGTTAAACAGCTTTTATTCTGCCCTCAAACAGTATAACAGCTTATTGTTTAAAACTGGTTGATTAAAATCTGTCTGCAATCACAGGAAGTGAAATAATGTGTGAGCTGATCTTGCTCTAGTTCATTCAATCATCTCTATTTACAGATCAATGCATAAAATTTCACAGTATTTAAAAAAAAAATCAAGTGAATATTTAATATTTGCCTTTGGCTTTCCCAGGGAAAGTTGCCCAGTAGCAGAATTTCTTATTTCTACTTCTAAGAGTGAAACCTAAATATTGGGTACACAGCACCCATGGTGATGGCATCAAGCTCAGTGGAGCTAGTCTAAGTTCCCTATCATTTTATTTCATCATATTATCAAAAAATGTTATCATTTCCCACTTCAATATGGTAGGCAATCTCTGGCTTCCCTAGAGAAGTGCATTTAGATTTGCCAGCTCGTGGAGCTGCTGCTGCCCAGAACTGTAGGACTATCAGAGAAATGGGGTGTATTTTCCCTGCTGGGCAACATTAATGGCAGCTGATCAAACCAGCTTGGAGCACTGGCTGCTTTATGTTGTGAGCTGGGATTCAATCACTCTTTAATTAATTAGTAGTCTTTACTCTGAGGAGCTGCAGCAAGATGTGCAAAATTGGCTCCTCAGCCTACTCAAGTTGCAGAGCTGCTGATTTTTTAAGTACAGATAATATAGAAGGCCAAGACAATCACAGAAAGGACTGAGGCTGTCACAGTGCAGCCCAGGTAGAAATAAGCACCAAGCCTTCCTTTCCCAGCCTACCTTGCAGCAAATAATGGAATTATGAATGCATTGGCTAGGCCTCTAAAAGATAATACTCAATGATTTCTCTGTTCTTCCTCTTTCTGAGCACAGGTGAGCAAAATATATTGAAAATTATGCAAATTAAACCAAGTAGCTTCATTTGACAGTAGTCTACATCATGCTAGATGGGCTAGACAGCAGTGACTTTGGTATTTAAATAAGCACATAAATTATGACGAATTAAGAGCTACAAAGAATGAATTTCAGGGTTCAAGCCGGGGGGGGGAACAAAATTTTGCCACTTCAGTTCCAAATAGCATAAAGTTAATTTTGATGGAAACTGTGACTGAATCAGGACGTTTCTGACCTGTGCTATGTTTCTGACCAAATATCATGGGTGTACCCTGATTAGCCATGGAACTAAAAGTGTTTCTACTTCTGCAGTTGTTGCCCAGGCACTTCAGAGTGCAACAAGGTGAGACACTGATGTGAGGATAAAGTAAAATTGTGACGTGGCTGAATGCACCCAATCTCACAGCATCATAGAATGTAAAGATTAACGAAGTCCCTGGTGTTGTTTCCTTATCCTTGGTTTAGAAATCAACTTTTGCAGTTGATTTAGAACCAGATCCCATTCTCACCCAGCAGAAAATCCTGTTTCTCCTCCTACATATCCCTGACGTGCTCGGTGGCTGAGGAAGCCACAGCCCAGCAGTAAAAACGTGATTCCTGCTGGGAAAGCCCTGGCTCACTGTTCTTGAGGCTCTCAGACAGCACTGCAGTGAGCACAGTGAGCACAGAGTGTTCTCCCAGGGCTGGGAATGCACATCCCTGTGCTCAAGTGTGATTCCTAAGGCAGTGCAACAAATGGCAGCCTTAAAGGGGAATACAGTCTGAAACTGGATTAACACACTGGCTCATCCCATTTTGCTCCTCCCAGGGCTATTTCCAGTAGAATTGGGTTGGAAGAAATTCCTGCTCTGAGCAGTTCCAAAATTCTGGCATCTTTATTACAGAGAATCCAGATGAAATGGTCAGTAATTTCCAAAAATCCAAGTGAAACATGAACAAACTTTATTGTTACTGAGTGCTAAACCATCAGGCTGTGTTCAGACTCTGGAGTGTATGTTTTGCAACTCCTGTCTGAGACAATTGGCCATTTTATCTTGTTTTGCACTACTCATGTTCTTCCATTTACCTCTTGTATTTAATTATCCTGCTTCATTATGCTTGCTTTCAGGTCAAGAGTTATTTGAAATGACTGCAGCAACTGTTGGTGAGTTTCTACTGCATTTAGATTAAAAAAAAGAAAAAGACAAAAAAGTAATTAGACAACTATTTTATTGAAGTCAATAAGGCCATTCTTGGCATGAAGTGTTACTTAGGATTAAAGATAGCAGATGTCTGCCTTAAGTCACAGTCTACTATTAAATACTTCACATGAGTACCAAATATTGTAAAGGTTAAAGACTTGAATTTATCACAATTTTATTATGGGACCATGAACACTTTTACAACTGTAACCCCACAACGTTATACACAGTATAGTGAGTACTAAAGCCACAGTGCTGCAAATGTCGATTGGCTCATAAATAATGTCAAACAATTTCATATCTACACGAATTTAATTATTTAGACTCATCAACTTTCGCCAAGGTGCTGATTTATAAAGTGAAATAGTGTGCTGGCTCAAAATATGTCCCTGTCCCCCGTAGTCAAGAACAACTCTAAATTACAGACTTTGAAATATGTAAGTGTTCAGAAGAGAAATTCCACTGAGAGCAGCTAAAGGGGAGCCGGGAGGGCTGGCAGCCCCAGGGGGGGTGGGATGCCCAGGATGCAGGTGGGATGCCCGGGGTGCAGGTGGGATGCCCGAGATGCAAGTGGGATGCCCAGGATGCAGGTGGGATGCCCGAGATGCAGGTGGGATGCCCAAGATGCAAGTGGGATGCCCGAGATGCAGGTGATATGCCCGGGGTGCAGGTGGGATGCCTGAGATGCGGGTGGGATGCCCGGGATGCAGGTGGGATGTCCGGGGTGCAGGTCGGATGTCCGGGGTGCAGGTGGGATGCCCGAGATGTAGGTGGGATGCCCGGGATGCAGGGGCCATGCCCAGCCGTGCCTGTGCCCTGGGACGGGCAGCAGCACGGTCAGTGCACTGTGGTTCTGTTCCACCAGATGGCCCCAAGCACATACATTCACCCCCCAAAAAAATTCCCAGTCGAAATATCTGACACGATTTCATCAAATGGCAACTACTGAAATCTTGCTGATACATTAATGTTTAGAAGAACCGTTTAATTAGACACAATCAGGAGCCAACTGCAGGCACTTATAGTAACTAAACAGAAACGTTACCAATTTGCTTTTATAAACGTTTTAAACATGATACCTGGGGCAATTAAGATGTGCACGGGTGCATCACACTGACTGAGGTTTGTAATTCCTTTGGAGTTTTGTTCCCTGAGGTTTCTTTTGTCCATAGCTACTTAAGAAAGAGCTCATCAGCAGCATATGTGGAATAGCAGACAAATCCAATGATGGTGGGAACTTCCCAGCTGCCATATGTTTCTGTGTGGACAGGTACAGAATAAGTAAAATGTTCTCAGTTTCAAATCTGCTTTTGTTTTTTTTTTTTTTTAACAAAACCCACCATTTTTTTAACAAAACCCACTTTGGATTTACTCTAGTGCTAAATCTACAGCCAAGGGCTGTGCACTGCCTCTGGGTGTGCAGGATAGATCAAAAAAAGCACAGGGAATACAGAAAAGGAAGGGAAAAGGAGGAGTTTTCCCCATTGTGATGTAGATTTAATTAGTCGAGCAGACAGGAAGAGAAGCAGTTAAAGGTAAGAGAAAAAAGTACTGACAGAAAAAAAGACAGTATAAGAGAAGTGCTACAACAGACCTTCATTTATGTATTTGAAAGAGTAAGTAGGTTTTTAGTGGACTGTAATTGCTGAAGAATAAAAAGCTACTGAAATGTTGTGCCAGGTTTGACTTTAGTGATTGTTTGGCCAGCTGGTTTTGCTTAATCATCTGGTTGTCTGCAGGCTTAGGCAATGTGAAACTGGAAATGTTGTTCATCCAGACATGTCTTAATGTTTGATCTCAAGGGATCTGAACCCACGTAAGTTTTACATCCCGTGACAAATCTGAGTTTAAATAAGTCCAAACTGAAAGTTGGCTGCCAAGGTGTAACTGATTGTGCTTCAGAACTATGAAAGTTATGAAAATTGTCAAGCTTTAGTCAACATCACTTGAATCCTTCTTATAACACATAAAATTATTTCACATTTGCGTGTTGGATGAAGACACTTCCCTGGTTGCAGGGCTCGTTTCAAATTCCCCACACGGATTAACAAGGAATCTCTGCCTCCTTTGTCCTACAAAATTCTGTATCACTTACAGGCAGCACTACATTTGGGCTATGTAGTACATCCTATGGAATATTTGCAGAAGTTAATATGTGCTAAAGGCATAATTCTTGCTTTCTGAAGTCCACTTCCTGTGACTTCAACAGCAGTGGAGTCATGGTGAAGAAGTTTTCTACTCTCAGATACACCCCTTTATATACCAGGTAATAATAACAAGCAGTGATTTCATGGCTTCAACAGTGGGGCATTTAATCAGTAAAAAGCCTCAGTAAAGTTCTAGAGGGTAAGAGAGGGGGTGTTTGGTCCACAGACACCCTGCTCGTCTCAGGTATTTCAGACAAATTTCTCTACAGTATTTAAAAATTCTAGGTTTGGCTTTCTTTTCTGGGGAATCTTTCAGATCTCAAGGAGTCCTAATTTCATTAGTAATAACAGTAATTACTGGTAATAACTGTAATTTGGTAATAACACAAAATAATGGCCATTTTTCACCATTAAGTAACACGGTTCTGATGTATTTGTGTGCATTCAACCCACCCAGTGTACTGCAAACCTCCCACATAACCAGCTAAAGCATTCTGTAAATTTGCCTTTTACCACAGAAATTACAAAAAAAAAATAGGCTGGTTGTTTCTGGATTGAGCTCTAGTAATTAAGAAATGACTGACTTATGCAGATTTTGGAGTTTCCCATGAGATACTCATACAGATACACAGAGATTTTCTCAGAAATAAATTATGGGTTTATATGTGTTACAGATCTCTTTTTCTCTTCACTCCTCACAATTTTGCCTCAGGTTAAGTAACCAAAAATAGTGAATGACAGACAGATGAGGCCTATGGAACTTCAGTATTTTGGAAAAAAAATATTTGGGATGAAAAAGAAAAAAAAGTTGTGGCTTTTGTGCCCTGGCTCATGTGTACTGATTGCACCACTTCAACTTAATGGAAGAGCTCAACATGGTTAAAAATGTCACCTCAGAATCAGTGAGACACCCTTACAATGACAATTTGAACTTCTGACAATTGCCCAGATGCATAAAATTCTTCTTTTGAGGAAAAAAACCCAAAAAACCAAAAACCAAAAGAAACAAAAAATACACAACTGAAATCATTCAAGTTTGATATGTTTTAAATCAACAGGTACACTTTTGAGATCTAAATGATTTTTCCATTTGAAATTCATTTTAATTTCTGACATTATAGTATCATTTCTGTGATTTTGTAAAAAATACACGGAAGTATTTATATTTATATTCATGGATTAGACACTAAGGCCGAGCAGTGAAAGAACAGCAATAAAAAAGTGTTTTACCCTCAAAAGTTTAAGGAGAGTGAACATAATAACTACTTTAAATGATTCAAGAATGAACAAATGTAACATCCTTATAGTAAACAACCTTTGTTTTCTATCAATCATAATAATTGGTTATTTTGTGAATCTTAAATTCCTATTTAAAATTCCTTTTAAATAGGAATTTTTCAGGATAATTGTCCCATGTTTCATTTTAGGAGATATATGACACATTTTAACATTCTGAATCAGTAGAAAAGTTCCTCTCAGCTTCAGTGGGGCTTAAATACAACTTTTAATCCTCTGCATTTCTGCAGTGATATGAAAAACAGAGATTGTTTAAAAGTATTAATCCGAAGTCTGAAACAATTGAATTATACTCTTTTTCTTTTTAATTAATTCTGCTATCACTTCCCTTCCTAAATCTTATGAATTGTCCAGGTGATGATAAATTCCTTAGGATTGAAATGTTTGTCTTGAACTTCTGAAACACTACCAGGGTTTCTTCACAGGTTATTTTTTCTCTCCAACTGTGCAGCCTGGGAATGCTTGACTTCTCAATTTTTATAGGGAATGCTTTTCTCTGATACAAACCTGTAAAAAAAGCATAGGTAGAGATGGTGGATATGTCTAATAAGCATTTTGGGCTGGATCTGTGGTTTTTCACTGACTAACTATTGCACATAGCCATGTAACACTAAAAAGTCAGAGTTTCGTTAAACCTTTTTAAAAATCCTTTATATGGAACAAAAGCCATCAGCAGCCCATGAAACCCCATGCCTTCAAGTGCTTCCACAACTACCAGAATTGGACAGACAACATTATTTCTAGTGAGGTTTTTTGGCCCTTAAAATCCCAGAAGATCCCAGGAAAAAAACAGCTTCTGCAGTTTCAGTTGTTACCACCACTTGGTTTTTTTTGTCATGTCCCTTTTTCTGCAAGTTTGGTATTTTCCACAGCTTTTCTGTAGGATGAATTTTATCTGTTTTGATGGAAAAATCAGGGTTTTTTAAGCTCAGCTTACCCTGAGCTGCAAGATTTTGCCCCAAGAGAGGTGAGAAGCACACACACATCCTGTGGCATTGGGGAAGAGCTGTAACCCCCAGAAAAGCCACAGCAGCTGGGCAGCTCTTTCTGCTTGGGAACATCCCATTGTGGACTGAAAGTTGGCTGCAGGTGGCTCAGACAGAAACTAATCCTTGCGAGAGAAAAGTCCTGAGAACCCCAGTTAGACACCTAAAAGGCTTGACAGCTACATCCACCTGAGTGGGATCAGTTCTCTTTGCAGTCTCACCTAGGAAAATAAATAGCACTGAGAACACTTGCTGTGCCTGATGTAGGGATGGGATGAACAGGAAATTGGGATGTTCTCAGGGTCATTGTGATTGCTCTGAGAATCTGCTGTAGTGCAGTGATCCTGTGTTGCATCTGGGTTGTAGCTCAATGCCACAATGTAGCCTAAAATCTGTTCCTTCCTAATTATCCCCCTAACTCGTATTTGGTTTAAAAGTCAAAGCAAGTTTTGTACAGCAGACAGCTGCAAGTTGGGTCTAGTTTCAAAAAAAAAAAAAAAAGAAAAAAATCAATCTGATGTGTTTATGCTTCAT